AGGATTAATAGTGGTTCCCCACTTCTTGCATTGAGTGACTCGAGCTCGATACATATTTATAATAAATATTTAATATTGTATATCCGTGCATCGCACGGGATACACACTAGTATATATAAAAAGTCATCATATTTACTAAAATTAGTAGCATCAAAAGTCAACGAACAATTAATGCATTCTATTTTCAGCATTTTTCAATTTTCTTTTAATATCTTGCCTAAAAAATCAGACAGACATGAAATGCACCCGAAATTCTATCAGTTTTAATTTTTTTTTAATTAATCACTAACAAAGTCGTTTAATTATTATAAAAAATTAAATAAAAAAAACACGTGTGTATATTTTGTAAAACATTTATCCACAATATTTTATTTTGATTTATTTAAGTAATTTAATTTTACAACATTAATAAATAATATTAACAAAAATTAAATATTTCCAATATATAAAATCAAAGGAAGAAGAAGACTACTTCTATAACTTAAAAAAAAAACTATAATGACATTATATGACAACAAATTTTAAGATAAAATAATTAATCAAGGATTATATGGTGTACAAGAATATGTAAAATTATTATTTTTCTTATATCAAAGAATAAATATACATACTAAAACCAAATTTATATTAGTATAAATATTTTATCAGGATAATATATTAGTTAATTTACAGACTAGGACTAATGGGCTCACGTTTAACGTTATGAACTAAAAAAACAATGCTGATTAAAAGGGATCAAAAATAGATGATTCAATTCTACTATTTTTCAGACCTAAACACACAGACTTTATGAAAATGTCATTTAACATCCCCACTCGTGCATCGCACGGACTACGTACTAGTATGTCCTTAGAACAAACGGTCAAAATTGCATCAACGTTAATGCACTATCAAAGCATAAATGGCAAATAATCATAGCACAGGACTACTAAAAGTTCTTAGAAAAATAAAAATTAAGGTGAGCAGCTATTCAGGATAAATAAAATTTAGTGATATATATTTCATATTATCAATTAAAACTACTTGAGATGAAGTAAATAGAGAGGTCTAGTTTACTGATGAATATCTAATTAAAAGATAATGGTTTATAAGCAATCGTCAGCCACTAAAAATGAGTGAATATCTTGGAATGCCGATTATTCACAACCGGGTGACTAAGGCGACTTATGTTGATATCCTAGAATCCGCAGAAAGACGGTTGGCTGGTTGGCAGGCGTCCGCTCTCTCGATGGCGGGTCGGGTTACCTTAGCCCAGTCTGTCTTGAGCTCCTTGCCATATTTTTCTATGCAGACGGCATTTTTATCGTATGGGGTATGTGATAGTCTGGAACGTAAATGCCAGAATTTTATTTGGGGAGGGACGGAGTCTTCTAGGAAGATTAATCTTGTTTCTTGGTCCGAGGTGTGTCGGCCAAAGGATGAGGGTGGCCTTGGAATGCGTGACCAACGTCTTATGAACCGGGCAATGCTGATGAAACTAGCATGGCGTTTCCTAACGGAACCAGATGTTCTCTGGTGTCGCTTACTTCGGGCTAAATACAAACTTAATCCGCTTGAGATGGGTGCTGAGCATGAATTCCCACGAGGCTCGACAATCGTCCGGGCTATTCGAGACGTTTGGCCTGAAACATTAGCCGGCAGCTGGTGGTCCATGGGAGACGGTCGGAAAGCTCGCTTTTGGTGGGATAGGTGGTTGTGCTCGGACTCTCCATTGATTAAGCTTGCTGTGGCGCCAGTTCCGGAATCGCTGCTATTTGCTACGGTGGCGGATTTCGTTCGACCAGACGGCGAGTGGGCTTGGGGGCTATTTCAGAACTTACTTCCGGCTACGTGCCTGCTTCGTATTTCAGCCATACCAGCGTCGAGTCTTCATGGAGGTCCGGACAGGCTGTTTTGGGGCCGATCTGCCGACGGAAATTTTACAACCAAATCAGTGTACTTGGCGCTCCGGAATCCTACAGTCTGCCGCCGGGATAGGTTAAATGTGGCAGGTGGTTTGGAAATGGGTAGGCCCACAGCGTATACGTCAATTTTTGTGGCTGGCCGCTCGGGAGTCCTTGCTTACGAATCTGTCCAGGTTCCGTCGACACCTTACGCCGAGTCCGTTTGCCCTCTCTGTTCGGCGGAGAACGAGTCTGTGGTCCATGCGCTACGGGATTGTCCGGAGGCCGCGGCCACATGGAGACGTCTGCTACCCCGGCATTTCTGGTCGGCGTTCTTTTCCCTCGACTTGCGCAGCTGGCTTTTGGAGAATTTATCCGGTGAGTTGAGTCGGGCCGAGGAGGGGTGGATGTCGGTGTTCGGTGTTACGGCGTGGCGTGTTTGGAGGTGGCGGAACTTGAAGATTTTCCAAGACTCTGACGTTCCTTTTGTTCAGCGCCTAGGGGAAGTGAACTCTTTTGTTAAAATGGGACGTAGTGCTTTGGCTGGCAGTTGTCGCGTGGGGTTGTCAGTGGCCCGTGAGTCTAGATGGATTTCTTGGGAGTGCCCGCTGGAGTCAGTCGTGAAGGTGAATACGGATAGAAGTTTCAATCCGACAACAGGTATGACCAGTGCCGGCGGGGTAATTCGGGATCACTATGGTAACTGGGTTCATGGGTTCATGATGAATATAGGGTTTTGCTCGATCATTGGAGCCGAACTATGAGGTCTCTTTCAAGGTCTGTCACTGGCATGGGATGTTGGGGCTCGTCAGGTGAGGGCCGAGGTTGATATAAGAGCATTCTCGAGATGATTCGAATGGATAATTACTCAGGCCCTCATGGTGGGCTAGTAAGGGGGATTCAGGAGTTGGGGTCTCGCCCTTGGGCTATCGAGATTGTCCATGGTTATCGCGAAGCTAATTTTGTGGCGGTTTATCTAGCGTCGTTGGCGGCCAAGGGTCTGGGTGAGCTTCATATATTGGCGCACCTCCGCCGAGGGCCAACATGTGGTTACTCCATGATATGATGGGTGTGTCTCATCATCGTTTGGTGGTAACCTAGGCTATTATAGCCTCCTTTTCTGTACCAAAAAAAATGAGTGAATACCACTTGTATTTGTATCAGGTACACTCTCGAGGATATCTCAATGGGTTCAATTAATTTAAAAAAAGAATAAAAAAATGCCCCTTCATAAAGTCCAAATTTCAAAAAAGCCCATTAATTATATACGCCTAAGCCAGTTAAAGTACTCGAATAAGTACGGCTTAAAGACGTGGATACGCACAATATTTAGATGAATACCTTAAATACGGATGACAAACCTTTCTTACCTAAAGGTATTCTAATTAACACTTCTTCTATAAAATTACGAACAATTCATAAAAAAAAAAAAACTTCGGCGATTGTATTCATAGAATATCTCTACTATTTTATATCTATATCATTTTCTTCTGTAAATTCTTTTAGATTATTTTCAATTTATCTTAAATTTATTATATTATCTCATACTTTATTCTAAACAATTATTTTTTTAATTATTTTCAGTTTATCTTATTTTATTATATTATCTCATACTTTATAAAAATATTGATTTTTAGATTATTTTTAGTTTATCTTAAGTTTATTTTTAGATTATTTTCAGTTTATCTTAAGTTTATTATATTATCTCATACTTCATAAAAAAAATTGATTTTTAGATTTTTCAGTTTATCTTAAGTTTATTTTTAGATTATTTTCAAATTATCTTAAGTTTATTTTAGATTATTTTCAGTTTATCTTTAGTTTATTATATTATCATATACTTTATTTAAAACACATTTTGAAACTTTTAGTTAATCTTACGTTTATTATCTAATTTTTAACTAAATGACAAAAAATTAAATGGACAAAAAAATTAATTACAAAAATAAACTGAAAATAAACTACAAATAAAACAAAAAAAAACTCAATTAATAACCATAATCAAATTTTATTTATATATAAACATCAAATTAACTTCCAAAATCATTCAAAACACAACTACATCACATTAATTATTCAGAAATTAACAAGAGCACAAATTATTGCTAAACTTGGAGGTCGGCAGCTCCACCAGCACTTTGCCAACGGCAAGCAGATCGCCGAACACCATTACACGACTCGCATAATGGACATCTCTTGGGCCGCTGGAATTCCATCTATCACTTTTTTAGATCTTAAATTAAATCATATATGATCAATGAAACCTCCTCAACAAAAAAATAGAATTAAAATTTACTAAACCCTAAATAAGTAAACGACACCTTGAGGCGACAAACGGTGCAGGCGACGGGAGGAGGGAGCCGGAGAGGGAGAGGATCTCAAAGCGAGAGTGATGGTGGCGGCGATTCTGGTGGCTCCAAGATGCATACCATCCGTTGGCATCGGGAACAACCCCACGGGAAGAAGAGTAGAGCGCGAAGGAGAAGGCCGTCCATGGTCGGAGGAGAGGAGCAAACTGCGGCCTAGGCGGAGGGGAGAAAGCCACGGCCGAGAGGCGGAGAGGAGGATGGGTGCTGGAGAATGATATGACTTGCTTCTGTAAGGGGAGGACAAGAGAATTAAAGAAAGAGAATTTAGATATGTGGTATGTTTGGTGTTTTACAGAAATGTTTTATCTTGAGGTTTGTAAGAAGATAATTAAGGCGTTCACATCGAAGAGGCTTCTGGAATTAAAATGTTAAAAAATTCGTATTTAAGAACCAACTAACATAGAAGTGGATTGAAACTTGAACTTTTCAATTTGTCATTTGGGAAATAAAGACATGGCGTTGTCTACAGTGTAATTATCTCAATAAGTACGCGCTCCTCCGGACCTCCACTCGTGTTAGAAGTTATAGAATAAAGGACACCCAATTATATGAACCCAAGTCAGCCCATTTAAAGAGTAACTCAGCAACTCAACTACAGTACTTGACCTACTGACAATACAAAGCTAGGC